TAGAGGGGTGGGATAGGGAGGGTGGGAGGGAGGGAGACGCAAGAGGGAAGAGATGTGGGAACATATGTATATGTATAAATGATTCACTTTGTTATAATGCAGAAACTAACACACCATTGTAAAGCAGTTATACTCCAATAAAGATGTAAAAAAAAAAAAAAAAAGCGGTCACTTGTCAGCATCCCAAGCGGCCCCAGCTGAGAGGCTGTCATTGGGGCTCAGAGAGTCGGGACGGGGGAGAAGTTAGCAGAGCTGGCCTGAGGAGGACGATGATTCAAATTTATTTAGCTCCTGGGGGCCAGTTCAGCAAACTCTGCATTTCCTCCAGGTTGGGAGAATGTTTATCTTCAAATAGATTTCTTCTTCTAGCCAGAGACACCCATTTCTCAAGAACTGGAGCTCAGAGGGAGAGGCCCGCAGCTGTCCCAGGGCCCGGGAGCAGGGGGATGAGGGTGTCGGGTGGTAAGGTTTTGGGGGAAGGTTCTAGGCCTAAAGAATAGAAGCGGAGGGAGAGGCTGGACAGAGGGAGGCGGAGATCCCTTGCTCTGGCCTATGAAAGTCAACTGATAAATTTTCAGGAATTTTGCAAGCCAGTTGATATCATATCGGTAGCCTGAAGCTGACCATGGTGGGAGTAATCAACGCCACAGAAACTGGCAAAGGCTGCAAATCAAGTCCTCTTTCTAACCCCCAACCAGAGCTGGTTGTTAAGCATTTATCAGCACACCACTAGCGTCAGAGTTTCTCTCCAAGTAACTTTCTCCTATTCTCCTCGATCTGGCACATGAAGAAACTACACTCTATGAGGCCACTTGGTGTGCCCACAGCTGGTCCCAGACCCGGAGCCTTCCTCCAAGGACGGCACTGGACATCCTACCCAGGCAGGCTGGAAGCCTTGATTAAGGGAATAGGATAACGACTAGCGGGTGGGGAAGGATGGCAGCATTCCCCAGGAGGGCCTGCCCACTGGGAGCTGCGGTGCTGGGTCCAGAACCTACACAGGGTCCTTGCCGTCCTCCTGCCTCCCATACATGCTCTAACCACTGGGCTCTTCTCTATCATCCAGCTGGAACCAGCCCTGCATTAAGCTGGGAGCAAAAGGGCCCTGTCCATATTCTCAGTTTGTGACACCTTGAGATGAAAGTTCCTGATGCCCTGCAGGGGCTGA